TAAAAGCACTACCACCTAAGGCTATCGGCTTTTATTTTTAACTCTACCGCACTTGAGATTCGAACCCACGACCATTGACTTGCTAGTCGAGATTCCTCGCCTTCGGCTACTCAGGCGGATGGGGTGCGATATAATCTTACTTTCTTTTGCGTATTTTTTAAAAGAACGAGTCTGAATTTGACTACATCTGTTAGTAATTCAAAGGGCCCGTCTGAATTTGGCTACATCTGAGAAAATATTGAAAAAATTAGTCTGCATTTGTTTACAATTGAGAGTAATCGAAAGAGTTTAAAAAAAACTGTATATGTGTATAAATCCGTACGCCTAACGTGCAAGAAATTAAAACGTACTCAAAATGTCAAATGAAACGAGGAAGAGGAGGAGACCATGCACGTGTGCTGTTATATGAAAAGGTAAGTTAATTTGTTTTTTATTTCTTTTTATTTCTTTTTAATAGTATGTACAATTTTATGATTAAGAAATAATCTTCTGTTGGCGATTATCGAGAAGTGGATATAGTTCAGTAGAATATGCATTTTTCTTACTATCAATTGACAAATTTTTCGATCGAAAAATTTCTGGCGGTTAATAGAGGGAAAATAGAGTAAGTAACGAAAAGTAAATAATTTTCGGTAAACGCATATATTTGGTACAATTAATAGATAAAGCGACTATCTATTCTCACAGCAAGTAATTATTTATTTATGATCTATATATTTTGTAAATAAGTTTACAAAATATGGATTTAAAGTTTGCTGGATAACATAGATCATATATGCTCGCCTATATTAAAAACTCTACCTCACTTGAGATTTGAACACGGGATCATTGAGTTCTCGGTCACAAAACATGTATGTATTTTCGATGGTTTTATCTCTTAGTGCAATACATAACATAAAAGGATATTACCAAAAAGAAATACCACAAATAACAGTCGCGGCAATTCAATGGTTGTGTTGAAGACGAAATAACCATTACTTTGTTTAGCTACTATCTTGTCTTTGCATTTATTTGCATGCAGCTGTTGTCCACACACAGTTGGTGTCACAAATGCAACGTTGTTCATGTCTCGATTGACCCACTTCTTGATTCGACAACTGCCCAGCACCATTTATTTATAAAACGACGCTATTGAAACCAATTGTTGAACCAAGTGCACACTTACTATCGAGAACCACAAACCTGCCCCAGAATAAAAAAGTTGCTTAGTTTTCGATCTTTGACAACTACTGATATAAACACAGCATGATATGTTTATCGTATTATTTTAAAATTTAATTTCTGGTTTAATAATCATATGTTATTTCATTACATATTAAACTATTTATTGTTATAAAAAAAATAACATCATTAACATAATCTGTTTTATTGGAAGTGTTTCTACAGTTCGATTCGAATATGATCAGCAAAAACAACTATTGGTTTTATTTATTTTTACAATAATTTTTTATTTTTCAAACCATGTGTTGCTTATTTACGTTTGTATTGACTTCCTTACTATTTCTTCTTACGAATTACGCTATTCGTGCTGTTGTTTAAGTGTGAACTATTTGCAGCCTAATAAGTAAGGGAAGCTTTGCAGTGGATTGCTTGTGCGCTCTCAAACTTGGGATGAGACCTAAAATTTTTGAGCACATTATTTGTAAACGAGCGAATCTGAGAACATTCTCAAAATTAGCTTTCTTAAAATGTAAGTATTCAAGGTTCTTAAGATATTTGACAATTTTATTTTATTTTGTTCTTTAATCACGACAGAGAATAATTCATTCTTAGAAAACAACTTTAAAAAAAAAAGCTCGCGACAGTGTAAATCTCTTTTAATCCATTTTTCACATTTTTTAGACAGACTCATATTTTAACTATTTCATAAATCGTTCCCCGTCTTTTCACAAGACAATTAACTTCTTCAAATTCTTTGCGAATTTCATTCGAGTTATATTTTAATCTCCGTATGAATTTTTTTTCTTCTTCTCCAGTCCCCCTCACCTTTCCGAAAAAACTGCAAAACCAACAATCTACGTGGAAACATTTTCTCTCGCTGTGGACTCCCTTCATGCGCGAGCTTAACAAGCTAAGTAATGCCGGGCTGCAGTTTTAATGTAATGTGTTAATGCAAAAACACACATTACCCTTAATAATACACATGAATGTGTAATACATCCGCGAACAGTATTGGAGGCCCATCCACGCTCCCCGAATTATTGTCCACATTCGCCACCCGTGAGAATTTGTACCATTCAGCAAACCCTGAACAGGCAACGAATCCTCAGACATTGACGAAGGCGCAGAAGGCGAGCCTGTAGAGGTAGCAAGCGAAGTACTAGTGGCAGACACCGATACAATTTTTTCAGGAATATGTTCATAATGATGTTATTGACGTCAGCGCACTCAAAAGCGTTAAGACCACTCGTTGCTCACATCTCATCGAGGTGTTCACAACCATCAAAGGAATTTCTCATATCTTCAAACTTATACATATGACGAAAGCGTTTAGAAATCTTCGTCAAATCGTTGCAACCTGATTGCTTATTTTTTTTTTTTGATTTGTTTGGAAATGGATTGGACCAGTTAAATTAATATTAGATCCATAATCCAGAAACGTAGTTGAAAGCGATTGATGAAAACTTTGAGCATAGGTAGAGGCTGATGTGGCAGTGTTCGCTCATAGCGAACGCTCTGTGGAAGCGTGTTGGGCCCATAACCCTGATTTTTCTTTCTTTTTTGTTGCACTCTTTACTCTAACAAGCGTTGGCTTTGTCTCAAGTAATGTCAAACGTACGAGCACTAATGGTAGCACATTTACGATCCATTACGCGCCCAAATATCTCTCAACTAGATTTCTTATTTTGCATTTGCGATGAGAACAAAACATGATCACCAAGAGATCCCTCAACTTAGAACTTTACCGAACCCTAGAATCTGCCGACATAAAAAGTACTTTAAAACAGTCAATCCTGCAATTTGTTGTTGCAATTCACTAAAAATCCCTCTATAGAACTTAATTCTAATTATAAAATGGTATTCGAAGAATTTTGCAGTAAAATATTCTTATTGTGGTCAAATTACTAAAGAAAAGACAGTTTACTCAGATTTCTAGCATTTTTTAAATTGAATTTACAAACAATTTTTGTTGACAAAACTTTAGAGAACAACCAACACGTGCATCGTTGCCATATTTATTAATTATTTTGAAAAATAACGGGACAATAGAGGGGAAGCTATAAGTTTACTTTTATGTAAACAACCAACATAACGTGAACATACAACGATATACAAAAATAAATAAAATGGATTAAGCTAAATAATTATCGCTTTCAACGTACCAACACGTTGCAGACCCAAAGCTAAAACCAGAGGCTCTGGAGAATAGAATGGAGAATGCAATATGTAAAAATACAATTAAAGCTAGAAACGAAAATAGCCCCTCAATCTCATTTCAACTTGAAAAATGCGTTTTCATGCACTTGAAAATCAGTTGCCACAACTACGTCCTCTGCATAAATTGCATATGCCAACCCTTGGGAGTACATTGTGTAGCACTTCTTTATTATTACTTGTTTGTTATATATATATATATATTATAAATTTTACATGAGAGAAAAAATTTTTTTCCCACTATTGATCATTTCTACGAATAACATTACACTGCGTTAAGATTTTGTTATTTTAACTAGATACCTTTGTGGTTACTTACTTCTTTACAAATTGTTATAAAAGCTTGCATCTAAATTATGAGGGCTTATAGATAAACAGAGATGTGAAAGAAATATAGGAAATTGTTTACAATTCAAAGGAAAGGAATCTAGGAAAAACATACGAATTCAAAAGTAGATGTGAAAGAAATATAGAAAAAACATACGAATTCAAAAGGAGATGTGAAAGAAATATAGGACAAACATATGAATTCAAAAGGAGATGTGAAAGAAATACATGAATAACATATGAATTGAGAAGGAGATGCGAAAGAAATATACGAATAACATATGAATTCAAAAGGAGATGTGAAAGAAATACATGAATAACATATGAATTGAGAAGGAGATGCGAAAGAAATATACGAATAACATATGAATTCAAAAGGAGATGTGAAAGAAATATAGGACAAACATATGAATTCAAAAGGAGATGTGAAAGAAATACACGAATAACATATGAATTCAGAAGGAGATGCGAAAGAAATATACGAATAACATATGAATTTAAAAAATGTGAAAGAAATATAGGAAAAACATATGAATTCAGAAGGAGATGCGAAAGAAATGTACGAATAACATATGAATTCAAAAGGAGATGTGAAAGAAATATAAGAAAATCCGCAAAATTGGAGCGTGCTGGTTAAAATTAACCTTTTCTTTGAAAATTCTGCGCGTCGAGTTGTCAAAATTCCTTAAATTATAAACTTACATGTTTGCAAAAATTTTGATCAGCGATTTTTGCAAGTAAAAATGATAAAGAAACGGGAAATATACATAACGGTTGAATACGATGGTTTTAACATTCCTCTACATAAAATAACTGTTTTCTACTTAATATTATTGATTTATTCAGCGTACGCCGACCCTAATCATGGAGAGCTTCATCATATCCTAATTATAGCTTTTGGGTTAAATGGTTTAAAACTAGCGACACGAATTATCTGAAATATATATTTTATCAATTTTCCACAATAAATGCCTTTTAAAGTGAAAAAGTGATCAAAATATTTACAAACCCCTAATAGAAGCAAAGACATCGCATGCAACCATTCGCATACATCATAAGCCTACACAAAACAACTTTTCCTTGATCTTTTATGTCTTCTTAGATAAACGTTAGTATAGCATTTAAGATTAATTAGTAAATATTTACAAATAATACTATTAGTAAAAATATTTGGAAGCCTATGTTTGTAGTGGCTTTTTATTTAATTACCATAGTGTTGTGATAGACATAATAATCCTTTCAAATCACACATACGATTGCTTAACTATTAGAGAAATTTGGAAAGAAATAGTAATTAATTAACCTGTAGGGAAGAATATGTCTACGGTGCATTCACCGTATTTTAGTAAATATTCCTGATTGCACTGCGATATACACCTTTCTATCATATACACTTCACCGGGTAAAGTCTTGAATCCATAGCTCGAAGGTTCATCCATACATTTTTAGGAAAAATAACAGAGTCCTACTGGTTAAATTGGCTCGTACTTTATTTAATAGCAATTGTTTAAAAGACAAGAGATTGGCTGAATTGCAATGAAAAATACGCTACAAAACTTTAACTTTAGTTAGTAAGACATTGCATTAAAGAAAGGTGCGGCTTTTTATCGAAATTCTATCGTCACTGACGAAGCTCATCGATTGATTCTAAAAACTGCGATTACCCGGAAGGTGTCGTGAAAAAGTGGGAACTGAATAAGTGCAAGAGCAACTTCATTTCTTTAATAATTCTACCATTAAAAAAAGAACAGGAATGTTTCGGAAGTTTTTAAAGAAAATTGCTCGCTTTAATTTTTAAAGGCGAGAAGCATTTCAAAACGATTTATCAGAAATGTAAGAAAAAAGTTAAGAAACGTTTTTATTATGCGACGGAAGTTAAATACTTTACGCTAAATAATGATAAATATGCTTAATTGCAAAAAAATGGTTGTTGAAAATATTAATATCAACGGTGAAGTCGAATATATATAGCTCTAGACTCACGGTTCATATTTGGAAATTTAGAGCTCCCCAAAAGCAAGAGAATTATCACCAGCATTTACCAATTAATAAAAGAAAAACGGGGAAATATACCAAAATATAAAAAACGTAATTTTTTAGCAAATCTCTTCAAAAAAGAACAAACATATGAAAGTTTTGCTACGTGCGGTGGTCACATTAGAGCCTCTGTTTATCATTTGTAACGACCGATGTAATAACTGATAACTTCGTTTTTGTCTTATTTAAGGAATATACACATCTTCTTTTCTGGGTTTTTAAACGTTTGGTGTCATTTTCATAGAAAAATATAACCGGATCCAGGTAAAGGCTTCTTATGTCATACACGAGGTTCTGCTATCATAACCTTTACAAAGAATTTATTATTATATTATCATAATATTGCTTTTAACAATTCGATCACCTTAATTCCTTTAGGTTTTCCATTTCCTGGATAAATGTTTTCTGGATTTATCAACTTTAAGCCACTTTTCATGCCAGAATTTCCCGTACGCAAAGGCCAGTTGGGATCTTTCAATTGTCTCTCTCTGGCCGCCTCCGTTTCAAAAGTGTTAAAGCTCCATCAACAACCAATTTGACTACGTCGCTGGAAAAAGTAATCGCAGCAGTTAATATCATTGTTACGCCATTTGCATTCCGTTAAGAGCTCCTCGCAAGACCAGCTCATGTATTCATAAACTAATGAAAAGTTAATATGAGTTAAAGCATGTATTGGTCGATTTTCAAAAATTTGAAACACTTGGATTTGATCAAATTGGAAGGTGTTGTAAGCAGTAATAATCAGTTCAAAGAGTTCTGATATTTCGGTATTATTTTTTTGTGGTAAAAACATGCTTTTGGCTGCTTCTAATCGTTGCCAATTCAATTGGTTGCGATTGCAAATGGATACCACAGGAAAAGTTATTTGATATACTGGATATCGAGTACTATTAATAACAGTCTCCATATTTGGCAGCATAAAAGCGATCCTTAAGATGCAGGCATACGTGCACCGTTCCGAAGAAAGCCAGCGAAAGTACAAGAAACCAAGTGAACCTGAAAACAGGAAAATTTTCACAAATTAGCCAAGAGTTTCAAAAGAGTTCCTTACCTTTGATATTTGTAGCTTTCACGATCTGCCAGCTTACTTAAACCAGGTATCGTAGATTTATTCGCAAACCGATAGAAGAAGCCTGTAAAGGTTTCTCCATATTCGCTAGAGTTTCCATTTTTAGTAACCAAGGCACGTTTTACCAAATCCACCGATAAATGCTTCGAGAGCATTCTGTGTGCAACTGCAAGTAAGTTTTGTTAGAAACTGACCTTTACATGCACTATTTTTGTGCTCTTTGCAATTACTCTGTGTGGGTATCAAAGCATTTAAGAACCCAAGCGCATGTAGGAAAGAAGTATTTATTAAACATCCAGAAAACATACGCAAAGGATCACATCAGCTTACGGCCACCCTACAATGTGAAGCCATCTATAATATATAAAAGGTTATAATTAATACTCCGCCAAACAGTACAAAGTAAGCACAGGAGTCGTCCTGCGTAAAATTTATATATTGATGTATATAAAATGATTATTTGTTAAAATCATTTAACAATGTTTTATTTAACGTTCGCATATTTAAACTTTTCTGTTTTATTTCTGTTTGTACGTACAACAATTTCGTTTATATTTTGTTTTGTTCTTCTTTTAAAGCCATTTTTTTTCCTATAAATGCAATTCTAATTGTGAATAAAGCTGATTGCCGTTAACAGGCTAATCACGCACCATTGTCGCCATAAAGCACTGAAAACTGAGAGAAACGTGAACAATGAGACGCATATTGGCGTTCTTTTGTTTTGTCTGAGCAAACCTTATATGGTAAACAACAAGAAGGGTGCAAAATTAAATGAAAAGAAAATTAAGTAAAATTTGTGATAGGATATAAAATGACAAATGAATTTAAAAATTTTTGGGAAAACTCAAATAGTGATCAATCGATTTATAAGAAATTTACTGTAGTATTATCGATCAGTCGCACTCTACCGTAGTCTACAAGTTATTGCTAAGTATACAATTTCCAAAGCTTCATAGACGCACTAGAATTATTAGACACTATCAAAGAAACGTATGAAGCCGCAGCAATCTCCCTGGTAAAAACCAAATTAAAAGGTGCTACCAGAAGTCTAATAAGCCACGAAACTACACTGATACAAATAAGGGACACGTTAAAGAATAAAATAAAAGGAGAATCAGTAGAGGTTGTGACAGCTAAAATCATGAACTTACAGCAGCGCAGTAAAACCGCTAACCAATACACAAAAGAAATAGAGGACCTAACAAAGGCCCTGGAAGGAGCATACATTGCGGATGGACTAACGAACACGCTCGCTGCCAAATATAGCACTCAGCAAGCTATCAAAGCAATGACCCGAAACTGCTCCATAGATAAGGTCAAACTTATCATGGGGGCAGGAACCTTCAACAATATAAACGAAGCCATAACAAAGTTCGTAAACAGTTGCACGGAAGCAACCAGCAACTGCAACACAGTTTGTTATTATAGAAACAAACCAAACGTTCCCACTAACTACCGGGGACGCAACAGAAGACGGTATAATTACAGTAATAACTACCAACGCAGGGAATATGCGAACAACCGTCCTAGCAACAATAATTACGGAAATCGGAATAATCCCAATCAAACACGAGTAAGAAATAGTAGAAACGTAAGAATAACTCAGTCGGAAAACGACCAAACCCCCTTGAGCGAATAAAAAAGGTATATCACTTTAACCTCAGTCTGAGTAATTTTATAGAAGTCAAGAATGCAGAAACAAACCGCCCACTAACCCTATTAATAGATACAGGAGCTGACATATCACTACTAAAATACACACACAACGAATACAATGACATAAACACAACATGCACGACTAACATATCTGGCATCGGAAAAGGGACCACTAAATCACTCGGATCTACTCAATTAGACCTGAAAATGAGTAACTTTCTAGTCCCACACAAATTCCACATAGTATCCGCGAACTTTCCCATACAGTGTGACGGAATTCTCGGAATGGATTTTATAAAAAGATATAATTGCGTTTTGAATTTCCAAAACACAAAAGATACCCTCACCATACGGCCCAGGCACTTTCACACACAAATACAAATTCCTCTAACACATACATTCAAAAAAAACACCCTCCTATTGCCAGCAAGAGTAGAAGTTATTCGTCTAATACAGTTACCAACAAAAGAAAAATCAGTGCTGGGACCAAATCAAACACCACACCCAGGAGTAATAGTGGCAAGTACTATTGTGGATAGCAAAAACGCCTTTATAAGAGTTGTCAACACAAATATGAACGACGTAGCCATAAGTAGTAGCGATATTAAATTTGAGTGTCTAAATAATGCTGAAATCTTAACAATAGGCCGCAGAGCGGAACAAGAAGAAAAGTTAATATTAAACAAATTACAGTTTTCATATACATACATAGTTACATATTTTCGGTATTGAAACCGAACCAATAACTGCAAACAACTTCTATAAACAAAAGCTCAGATTGAACGACAAAACACCTATATATATCAAAAACTACCGAATTCCTGAATCACAAAAATCAGAAATAGACAAACAGGTTACTAAATTAATCAAAGACGGAATAGTCGAACCATCCATATCCGAATATAATAGCCCACTTTTATTAGTACCCAAAAAATGTCCACCGAACACTAACGAAAAAAGATGGCGTTTAGTAGTGGATTATCGCCAAGTCAACAAGAAACTGCTAGCAGATAAGTTCCCACTTCCAAGAATCGAGGATATTCTTGACCAGCTAGGAAGAGCTAAATATTTTTCATGTCTCGATTTAATGTCTGGATTTCATCAAATCGAACTCGAAGAGAAATCACGAAACATAACTTCTTTTTCAACAAGCAATGGCTCATATCGCTACACGCGACTCCCGTACGGCTTAAAAATAGCACCAAACTCATTTCAGCGCATGATGACTCTTGCCTTCTCCGGCCTAAAACCATCGCAAGCATTTCTCTACATGGATGATCTAGTAGTAATAGGATGTTCCGAGCAACATATGCTCAAAAATTTAAGAGATGTGTTCCAGCTATGCAGGCAACACAATTTAAAGCTGAACCCGGAGAAATGTTCTTTCTTCAGGCACGAAGTAACCTTTTTAGGCCACAAATGGGGAACACTTCCCGATGATAGCAAATATGATGTCATCAAGAATTACCCAATCCCTAAAGATGCAGACAGTGTAAGACCTTTCGTTGCGTTTTGCAACTATTACAGACGCTTTATAAAAAATTTTTCAGACTATTCATGCCACTTAACTAAACTATGCAGAAAGAGAGTCCCATTCGAATGGACCCCAGCATGCAATCAGGCATTCGAGCATCTAAAAAATGAACTACTAAAACCAACATTATTGCAATATCCAGATTTCAAAAAACCATTCTGCATAACAACAGATGCTAGCAAATACGCCTGTGGCGCAGTACTCACACAGCAGTACAACGGAGTACAACTCCCAGTTTCCTACGCCTCAAGAACATTCACAAAAGGGGAAACAAATAAATCCACTACCGAACAAGAGCTAATCGCAATACACTGGGCAATCAAGCATTTCAGACCCTACATATACGGACGACAATTTTTAGTAAAATCCGACCATAGACCATTGGTATACCTGTTCTCTATGAAAAACCCAAGTTCAAAACTTACGCGTCTACGACTAGATTTAGAAGAATACGATTTTACGGTAGAGTACCTCAAGGGGAAAGATAATCACGTAGCGGACGCCCTATCCCGCATAACAGTTAAAGATCTGAAGGAAATAAACAGTAAACTATATACGGTAGTAACAAGATCTGCAACGCGGCAGAAAGATAACTGCACAGAAAAGCGACATGTAAGCGAACATAAGAATGCGGCGCCCAAAGTCTATAAAGTCATTAATAATAATGACGTACGGAAATTTGTGCAATTAAAATTTGCCTCCGATAAATGTTGCATGAAACATGGGAGGAAAATAATTGCCAAATTCGTAATAAACGACATTTATACCAATGGAAAACTCGACTTAGGTCAGTTTTTCCAAAGGCTGGAAATAGAAGCCGGTATAATAAAATGGTCGAATTTCAAAATGTCTCCAAGCGAGAGGATTTTCGAATCCGTATCGCAGAACTAATTTAAAATAATGGGCAATAAGATATTAAAAAACATAAGAGTAGCGCTACTCCAAGAGGTGACAATTATAAACAAAAACAATAAGCCCGCAATCAAAACCATTCTACAAAAATACCACAATGACCCAATAGAAGGGGGTCACTCTGGAATCACACGTACCTTGTGGAAAATACGAAGGTACTATTACTGGCCGCAAATGACAAAAACAATAGCCAAGTATGTCAAAGAATATTCACTATGCCAAAAAGCCAAAATTACAACCCATACCCAAACCCCATAACCATAACCCCAACACCAGCAACTGCTTTCGATACAGTTGTAGTCGACACCATAGGCCCATTACCAAGGACAGAAAAAGGTAATGAATACGCGATAACACTAATTTGCGACCTTACCAAATATTTAGTGACAATTCCGGTCACAGATGAAAGTGCTAAAACCATAGCAAAGGCAATCTTCGAGAACTTCATACTAAACTATGGGCCCATGAAAACACTTGTAACGGACCAAGGAACTGAATGCAAGAATGCACTAATCAACGATTTATGTAAGTACCTCAAAATTGACAATATAACATCAACAGCCCACCACCATCAGACACTCGGCACGGTGGAACGCAATCACCGAACGTTCAATGAGTACATCCTTTCATATATATCGCCTGAATTGAATGATTGGGATATTTGGATAAAATATTTCCAATATTGTTTTAACACAACACCTTCCACAACACACAATTACTGTCCTTATGAATTAGTATTTGCAAGGCCACCAACCCAATTAACAGATCGCAAGAAAAACATTGAGCCACTATATAACATAGACGACTACGCTAAAGAAACTAAATATAGATTAGATATAGCATACGCGCGCGCTAGGTTACTGTTAGATAAGGAAAAAGAAAAACAAAAAATAAATTACGACAGGAAAACTAACAATTTACCACTAGTAGTAGGCAACCTAGTACTCCTAAGAAATGAAGTAGGGCATAAGTTA